CATAACTCTGTAATATTTACAGAGCTGGTACAACTTACTAAAGCCACAGAGCATAAATTTACACATGAACTTGCACTTCCAAATGCTGGTAAAGCCTCAAACATGAATCATTGACCAAGGCACACAGCACAGAAAGCACGGCACAGTCATTTCATTGTTCTCATTTTCTCTTGCCTAAATCTCATCTTCATAAAAGGTGTGAAATTGGCGGCCAGTCTGACTGCTTTTTCATGCTCTCTTCCCTGGGTCCCAGTATCTGAACTGGAAACATGTCTCCAGTGCAAGGAACAGAGAGTAATTTTTAAGTGTATTGATGTGCAAGGATGCACACAAACAAAAGTTAATTAATGGCATTATGAAGTGACTACTGTCATTAGGAGTAAAACCAACCATCAGAAACAATCGCATGGGAATGTTTTGACCATAAATATGTCAGAAGGGAGATGAATCGATCCTTAACAGAGCAGAGAGAACATTGCCCACTATTCCCTCACTATTCTCTACACAAGCTGCTTTGTCTTTGCAGGCTTAAATTCTCAGAAACACCTGCGGTCACCTTTTAAAATGCCAGGTTCCAGTTAAAAGCACTCACAATTCCTTCTCTTTTTCTTTTTAAATCTCACCAATAAGAATTATTAACAATGGTTGGCTTTATAAGGTTGTAAAGTAGACTTAACACCATTGTATATTTTTCCTTAATAAAAAAACCCTTTCTCTAAAAAACTTATGTATTAAAATAAAAGTATTAAAAAAAGTTTTAATTCACCAGGGCCCACCATTGAAACATTATAATGCTATGTCTCCAGTTTTTTCTATCGCATTTTTATTACTTTTATAATCAGAAGGAAAATATTTTAGATTTTACTTTCCTTAAAATCTAGTTGAATCTACCCAAGTTAAAACTGAACACCCCTGGCGGCAGCACGCCCCACGTGAGGAAAGAACACCGGTAGTCTCGCCTGGGCTCCGGCGCTAAGCTGCTCGTCCACCCTGGGGAAAGCAGTTAACTTCTCCACGTGGCCTGTCAAACGTGGGAGTACAGGACCTCAAATACACGGGGTCTTTCCTCCCTACTCCAACAGATATGATTATGAGACACGAGGTTTCGGAACTTTCCACAGGTCATTCTAGACTGAGGGCTGTGGCAGCCTGCTTTTCCCGTCTCCAAATTCCCACATAAAAACAGACGGTGCACCTACACAGCACGGCCGAGCCCTTAGAAACAAGGTGTCCCCTGGAGCAACCAAACCCACGCAGGTAGAGACAAACCACCACTGTCCACAACACCCGAGTGGTGTCTGTGTGGGCCGAGGCGGAGGGAAACAGCCGGAGTGACAGACCCCAGTCTTGGAAAAACCCCCAAATAACCACTAAGTATACACAGGAGGGTGAAGAGGGCCAACTGGAGAACAGCGGCTAGAACCGGGAGGGCTTTTTTTGCCTAGAGTGAGCGAGCAAGGGGCCCACAGTAAGATCTGAAGGGACCAAATCAGCTCCACCCTGTGAACTTTCAGGTCGGATCCCAGGACCCCTCTCCAGGAGGAGGAGCTGCTGGGAGTGAGTCAGAATTGAGTACCGGAGACGGAGGAAAAGCCGGGTCCAGGTAGAGCTGGGGAGGGAACACAGCCAGGCCGCGCTGGAAAGCAGACTGCCACAGCTCGGACAACGTGACAACAGGAGGCTCAGCTATTTGAACTTAAAAAAATTTAGAAGGCCATCTTACACCCTGCTCTCTGAAAGTTCAAGGAAACCATTTTTCACATAAACATGAAAAACAAAAGTATTGAGGTTAAATTCCACACAAAAGTTACGAGAAGAAAGGAGCAGAAAAACATCCCTACAAAACCGTGAAGCATGCCACAAAGCAGACGAGAGGGGAGAAAAAGCCCAAAACAACCGCTTACTATTTCAAAATAAGTTAGAAGACTTTTAGAAAATAAAATGACAAAAGACATGAAAGAAATAATTCACAATTAGAAAACTTTGGAAGGTAATAGAACACAGAAAAAACAAAGAAAATAAAAATGCATTTCAGAAATAAAGACTAAACTGGGAGGCACGCAGGAGGGGACAAACACAATATACAATGTCTCAAGAGAAACAGTGTGCAGAACAGGAAGAGCAGTAAAAAGGGAGAATGGAAGGGTCGGAAATCGTGACAGATGCTGAAGACGGGCAAAGAGAATCTAACATACAAATACCAATCATCCTTTCTTGCTTTGGCAAGGGAACCAAACTAATCTTAAACACGAGAATTAAAAAAACCCTTACCTGAAATTTAAAATATTGATTTAAAAATAAGTCAAAACAATGCACAGCAAACTTGAGAACACTGAACCAGAAAGGCTAAGAGTGAGAGTTACCCCAGTAAAATTACTGGACTAAAAAAAAAAGAAAAAAAATGCTATAGGTGTCTAGAATAAGTAAGTGTCTATGAGAGAAAAGCAAGTTTTATTATTAAGACTCTCAGAGCAACACTCTGCCAAAAAAGAATAAAAAAACCCCATATTCAAGTAAAGAAAAGATGAGCCAAGGGTTTCATATCCATCAAAAATGCCTTTCAAGTATGAAGGGCACAGACACATTGTTATTAACAGGGAAGAACTTGGAGGTTCGACTCCTCCTCCCGGAGGAATCTAAAAAGCGGGAGTGAAACTGACACGGCACAGTGCAAACATTAAACGTGTGGTTTACTTGCTGAAGACTAAGAGGGAGAGAGTGTAAGATACAATGGCCATGTGGCCAGGCAGCGGGCAAGAAACTGGGGAAATGAGGAGAGCATAAGGAAAAAGAAACTTCCTAAAACTCTTCTCAGCAGCTATATTTGTCATAGTAGTGTTAATATTATCCCAAGATTGTTTGCATATAATATGGAATACAGCTAATAAGCAATTATAAAATATTCTAATTAAATCATTTGCTGTAACCTTAAGAACCAGGATTTTTATTATGAAAAGAAAGGAGATACAGAGAAAATACAGAAGAAGCTAAAAGAACAAGTACCCTGTAGTCTCCTCTGAGAAATTCAGCAAGGACGGTATTGAGGGCTGGTTTGGGCCTGCCTGAGCCTCCACACAAGAAGCAAGGGTAAGGCAGAATCGACTTGGCTTTTACCTTTGGGAAATATGAAACTTGAACGGGGCAATTCAAATAGGAGCAATAACTCCTAAGGTATTTTATCTTAAAAGTTATACATACATATGTAGATAGATAGATAAATACATACATAAATTCCTGGCCATGTATGAAAACAATGACCTAATTAAGCAAACAACTAGAAAAGGTACAGAATCGCAGAAATAGAGATCACATGGAGGTTTATCAGCAGGGAGGGAGAAGGGAGAGAATGGGAAGGAAAAGGTACAGGGAATAAGAAGCTTAATTGGTAGGTACAAAATAGACAGGGGGAGGATAGGAATAGTATAGGAAATGCAGAAGCCAAAGAACTTACGTGTATGACCCATGGTCATGCGCTAAGGCGGGGGGAATGCTGGAGGGAAGGGAGGTACAGGGTGGAGGGGGGCAAAGGGGAGAAAAGGGACAACTGTAATAGCATAATCAATAAAATATACTTAAGGTAAAAAAAATAATTACTTAGAAGCAACGGCACCCTTAGCATCCAGATTGTAGTCTTGAAACACCATATTTTTCTCAGTGAAACCAGGGCTACTTGGAGCGTGGTTAATTTCAGGTTTAGAGTAAAAAAATGTACTAGGTGAGCCTGGAAAACTACTAGGTCCACATTAAAACACTCAAAAGCCAACTTGAAGAGGTTGTTACTGACCGAAGACACTAAAATCTGAGTTTCTACAAGAAAAATAATTACAATGAGTTGAAACCCAAATACATTTAAATCCATAAATTGATTAAAATATTCTAAAAACAATTAGGTACTTTTAGAGCCTCATGGGCAATTAATTCATTAACCTGGAAAATGTTAAATAAATGAAAAGAATCAATAAAAGGAAAAGCATTTATTCTGCTTTTCCTCTATGAACTATACCATTGTTTCAACAAATCTTAAGTGATGAATGTTGTCTCTTGAAGGCAATTAATAACTAAGGAAGAATTAATAACTAAGAGTTAATAACTAAAGAAGAAATAGTAGAATTGCAGTATCGTGATTTGTAAGTTTTAACAAATAAATGAACCTAGGCATTGAGTACCAATAGCTGCTAACATCACAAAAAGCAAGACAACTGGACATTACGTGCTGCCCAGTGAAACAAACACCCTCTGACGTCACGCCAAAGGGTCCGGACACGAATCCGGCTGAGCCTCTAGACCCAGCTGCCAATCTGCAGGACGTACGGGGGCAGGGAAACGTGGTGAACTGCACCACGAGTGTTCAGTCGGCAGCATCCAGACTGTGGGAGACTATAGGTCAACTGGCCAGGATTTGACAGATTAATCATAGAGCAAACACGGAACAGAGGAAAAACCTGTAAATTAAGAGATCCAAAGAAAACAGTTGTTGTTGTTTTTTTAATCCTCACCCGAGGACATTTTTTCACTGCTTTTAGGGAGACGGAATGTTGATGTGAGAGAGAGACACTGGTTGGTTGTCTTCTGTAAGCATCCTGGTCGGGCACTGAATCTGCAACACATGTAAGTACCCGGACTGGGAATCGAGCCCACGACCTTTTGGTTAAGGGGCAAGACATGCCCCTTGCTCAAACAACTAGACACACTGGCCAGGGCAAAGAATGCAGTTTTTAAATGGGCAAGACTAAACTTTACTGTCTATAGACATCAGCAGGAAACTAAAGAAACGAGAAACATGACTATAAAAGTCACGGCAGCGTCACCTTCAGGGGAGGGAAGGTGGGATTGGGGATGACCTACAGGGTCTGTCTGTGGGCCGGACAGTGGTTATGAGAATGTTTACTCGTTAAGCTATCCTGCATTTGGTGGGAATTTCTGAATCTTCGTTTTATCTCTCTCTCACACTTGCGCGTGCACACACACACAAATGTTAGAAGTCTTTCCAGATGTCTCACCTGTGCCTTGGCCAACTTCTTTTCCAGAAGGTCCCGTTCCCGCTCCGTTTGCTGCAGGCGTTTATTAAGCTCTGCTATGTCTCCTTTTAGCGATGCCAGGGCTGCCAGGTGGAGCTGTGGCGACAGAAAGAAAGGAGCACCAGGTTAGACCCTTCGGCAGAAACTCATTTCCTTCCTTTCATTTCCCGTAATTAGTGTGATCGAATAAAAAATGTCTCATCTCAAATGGGACGCCTTGGGTGCTATCAATCTCAGGGGACAAAGGGCATAAATCAGATGCCTTACACGAAGCTGGGTTGTATAATCTCCCAACATATAACGGGAGAAAACTGTTCTCTATGGGCAGTGAGACCTAACTTTGGCTGGTCAAATCAGGGCAGGGAGCGAAGCTCCCATCCTGAAGTCTTTCCCTGAGCTCCTGAGCAAGGACGGTCCGAAGAGCTGGTGTGGGGCTGCCTGATTTTCAACCTAAGAAGCAAGGATAAGGCAGAGCCGACTTAGCTTTCACCTTGGGAAAAAGTTGCACAGGGCAATTCGATTACCCACATCGATGTGTGGACAACGGACAAGGGGCTGAGTTTTAAGGAAAAAGTGGGAGCACTGATTTCTTAAGATGGTCTCCTCTTAAAGCTGGCCTGTTAACTTCCTTGTCAGAACACTCTTCCTTCCTGTCCCCACGCCAGACTAGGCTGACGAGATGCTTCTGTGCTAGCAGGCCCTCTCTTACCAGCAGAAACCAACCACAAACCCATCCAGATATCCTTCCCTGGCCAATTCTGTCACATTAACTGGAGCTAGAAAGAATCTTCTTTTTTTTAAAGCCTTTTTAAATTTACTCAGAGAGAGGAGAAGGGAGGGAGAAAAAGAGGGAGAGAAACATCAATGTGAGTACACTGATTAGTTGCTTCTTCACGCCCTCAACTGAGGACCTGGCCCGCAACCCAGACATGTGCTCTGACTGGGAATTGAACTGGCGACCTTTTGGTTCACAGGCCTGTGCTCAATCCACTTAGCCATGCGGGCCAGGTCTAGAAAGAATATTCTTCACTAACAGATCTCAAAGGGGATGGGGAGGATTGGAAGAGATGAGCCAAAGAATATATATACATTTATGCATACCCATGGGCACAGACAAAAATATGATGAAGGTTGGCAGAGGGGTGGGGCAAAGGGGTAAAATGGGGGACATCTATAATAGAGTCAACAAGTAAAAAAAAATGGTTTCCACCAGATAACAAAAAGTAGGTACCATGCACTTCTGGGATCTCGACTGCTCATCTTTCAAGTTCTGAACACTGAGCTTCAGCTGCGGGTACACCTACGACATACGGGACATACAGACATGTCTTCTGGGGCTTTTGGGGCCAATGGATGAGACTATCTAAGATCCATTCAAAACACTAATCCCAGAGCAATACCGCCTTTCAACCTTTGCTCTCTGAGTCACTGCTTCTCATCCATCTTCACTGTCAGTTCCAGGTGGAGCCCGGACCGTTCCTTCACTGGATTCCACATCACATTTGTGTGACTGACTAGAATCAACAAACCATCCCTCTTTTGGAGGTTGTGTTTTTCTTTTTTTTAAGCTTCTGCCAAGAGAGATTTAAAGTAAGGAGTGAGCAAATAAATGTGATCTTTAAAAATGGACACAGTACAACAGTATGTAATTCAACTTTGAAGATTTTAATTTCAGGTTTAGAAAGATGCCCTTTTCTGCAACCTGCTCCATGCGCACTGCACGCTGTTGGCTGGTGGGCTTGGGGGAGCGGCGCTGGGAGGGAGGGAAGGAGATGGAGATTCAGGGCAGGGACTGGGGTTTCAAAGCAGTTGTTTATGTTAGACTATAACAGCCGAGAAAGTGACTTCACTTAATTGCGTCGGGGCTGCAAACCAACAGATCAATAGCCCATGTAAAGTCAGGAATGCTTGAAATTTAGAAAAGGAAATGTCAGGCAATCTGGTGGTGTTTGCCTTCTGAAGTAGGGCTTGGGCCACTCAAAAAAGGTCACTTTGGGTTTCAGAAACAAGGTTTTTGATGAATTCTCGGCACAAACACCACAGTGTTCCCCTTGTTCCCATTGCACAATCGTTCTGAGGCTGTTTTGCTTCCTGTGTGGTGGAGAGGGACACAACTTCGCTCCCTTAGCGGCTGGGGTGACCCCTCCACCTAGGAACTGCCAATCCGAGGATTTCCTCCAGCGTCGGACACTGTGCCCTATTATACCACTAGGTCAAGTCTGGGGAGCAGAGTCTCCACCTCACTTCGGGGGATGAGGATAAAATACAGAGAGCTGAAATATTAGCTAATAAGGGAGTGGGAAGGAGGACCCTAACCGTGTTAACCTTGTTTCCTCCCTTCTAACACGTCCCTGCCTTCTGGAGGAAGAGCTGGGGAAGAGTTAGGTGGGAAAGGCTGTATACGCCACATCACTTCATGAACGGGGTCAGATGGGGAGCAACCGGAGTAGTTGTTTCCATCCCAGCGCACGGCAGAGGGGGTCCAGGGTGGGTCCTTGCCACTGGGCACAGCACTGGGCTTGGCACCAACAGCTTCTGGCCTCCTCGGCAGGAAGACCCGTGGGGTGAGCATTGGGGGAAAGCCCTTCACTCCCTGGATGGAAGATGCCTCATCCACAAAGTCAGAGCGGACCAGTTGTTCTTCACCTTCCTTGGGTCACAGACTGCTTAGAATCTCTTAAATATGTGCACCCCTCTCCTACAGAAGAGGATACATTTGGGGTTCATGCATTTGTTCCACCCAATAATTATGGTGGTAACACACTCTGGAACCTATCCATGAACCCCAGATTAGGAAACATCTGGAGTAGATGCCAGCTCTGTGATCCCACCTAAGTTCTGCAACTGTCTGATATGTCATAACATGGAAGTAGCCTGGCACCTGACAGCTCCCACTTCCGCATCTGCAAGTGAGTGACTGAAACCCAGGGATTCATTTGCTGCCTCAAGGTCCCATGGATCTTGTAACACCAGGACCAGGGCTGCCAGTACCCTTTCCTCACTACACAACGTTGTGCGTGACAATAATTTTCAGGGTTTTTTTATGTGGATCACATTTTTACTTAAAATCGTTCCCTCTATTAAAGTAAAAAAATGTAACAGAAAAATAAACCAGAAGAACAGCATTTTAAAGGTTAGTGGTAGCCTCTGGGTAGTTTCAAACTATTTTTGGATACTAAAGTTGTTGTTTTTTTTTTTTTAAGAAAAAGAAGTTTTTGTACTAAAGAAAAAAGAGTTGAAATGGTATTTTCCGCACATGTAAGCTGTAGCATAAAAACTGTAAAGGTTATTTTCCTTCCTTGCTGTATATCTTCTTTCTTATCCATCAGCTTTTTCTGAGAAGGTAAAATTTAAAAAATGAGGTAGAATATACACATGTCCCCTAATTGTACTGACAATTAGCAGAAGCCACAACTACAGAGGGAGAGAGAGAGGGAGGGAGGGAGGGAGGGAAGGGAGGGAGGGAAGGAGGGGGGAAAAGTCTGCCCACAAGTCACAAGATGTGCTGCTTGGAACCGAGCGGACAGGCCCCTCCCTCCCCACCTGAGATGAAGGAAGATGAGTTGAGTTCCCTCCACAAGGTGTGCTGCACACCCCCTGTGAACTTCACTTCGGCAGCTCTCCTTGCCCCACCTTGTCCATAACTCAGTCATTGAAAGCTGGCTAGCCCTCCGCTCTTTTTGGGTCTCACCTCCTCATTCTGCCAGAGCTGGTGGCAGCTCTGCGAGTTCATAAGCTAAAGAGTTTGTGGGCGATGCTACAAGCACTATGACGGAGCCTGTGCACACATGTACAGAGGTCTTTCTGTGTAATTCTTAACAGGAGTGACAATGAGTTTAAATCTCAGAAAGACAAATTTACCCAAACAACCAAAATGGACAAATATCTCTTATATAATAGGAAAATTACATATATATCATGTTGGGGGATCTTTTTACCCATATTCTGGTCCTGAAATGGCCTCCAATTGGAGTAAAGCTTTAGATATACGAGTATGAACTAAGAAGTACCATTAAATGAAGATTTTCCATTAACCAAAGAGAAAGAAAATATGTGATGTTTGGAGCCTATGCTAGTCTCTTCCCAACACATTTCTTTCTTCAGGCTCAGGAACAAGACCTTGATTTTCAGCCAGGCATATTGCAGCTCAGCTAAAATGTCCTAGTTCTCAGCCTCCCTTGCAGCTGGAGCTAGATGTAGCCATGTGGCAAAGTCCGGGCCAGTAAGATGGCATCAGAACTATCATGTGGGGGTTCTGGGAAAACCTTTTTGAAAGAGGCCCTGCCCTTTTTCTCTCCCTCCATCCTTGCCGCTTGGTACAATAATGTGACGGGTGAGCTCCGGCAGCCACCCTGCTTCATAAAGATGAGCTCCATCCGCCTCCCAGGGAGCCGAAAGGTGCCTGACTCCCTACGGCCACCCTACTGCCTTCGGACTGCCTCACCCAGACTTCTGGGACAGAGCAGAGAGAAACAGACCTCTGCTGCATGGACCACCCTCATGTGGAGGTACTCTGGCAAATGAAGTGGATTTACTTGTTTATAGAGAACCAGATACACCTGGGCTCAACTGTCATTGATGCCACTTACTGGTGGACTCCCTTTGCACAATTTATTGAATCGCTGTGCTGCAGGGCTGTCGTACAGAGAAAACGAGACGGCTTCCACAGCACGGTGTCCGGAACCAGGGGAGCACTCCTCTCCTCCAGGCGAGTTTAAGTCAACAAGCTTCACGTCCACAGCCTTCTCAGACTAAGTCCCATCAGGGGGGTGAGAGGAACACCCAGATGAATGAGTAACACAGTCCTGTTGCAGAGCACCTGGCTTCCTGGTGGGTGTTGCCCCGGACTGAGAGGCCACAGCTGCTTTGCTGGCTTCTACTGAGGTCCAGAGGTTTATCTGAAGGAGATGGCTGGCAAGGCTCTTAATTCTCTGTGAAATTTTAACCCAAGGCCTAAACAAGGCTCAGAAGGGCCCTTGACACTTCTGTACAAACCTGGGTCTAGTGCACGAAGGATATAAATCTGTACATGTCTCATGTCTAGAGATAAAAGGCATTGATTCCCTAGGCTATTTTCAGCCCTGCTTCACATTCAT